TGCTTCTGGCAAGAACTAGAAAATACATTGGTAAAGATTTTAGGTGAAGAATAGCAGCAGAGGAAGGCAGAGACATGCCATAGAAAACTGCAAGTTTTGCTTGAAATCTCAGCCAAATTAATGAGACATAATACACCTCCCAATAGAAAAAAAAAAAATAAAAATGGCCCTAACCATTCACTATTGACATTAAAGTGAGATTTCCCACGATCATTAACTTGAAGATTGAATTAATCTCTTAAAGAAAATAGAAACCCCTGTTTTTTAAGTTTTCTGTTAACAATTACAGCTGCTTCGATTCTGTTTAAATCCAAATCTCATTTTATTCATGCATGCACAGAATGAGGCCAAATCCTTGGGGACAAGAGTTCCCAGGGAATAAGTGATCCAGTGAGCCAGCTGTACATACATCTCTAAGCAGACAGGGCAACGTAGGAAAATTAAAACATGCGTGTTTGCATTAAAATCTTGATGTTTGCAGATCTTCTTTATTTAATGGATTTTAGGTGAAATTTACTGAGTGCGTGTTGGTTTCTTTTCATAATACCTCATATAAGACGTGATCGATGGTGCCCACTGACTCTTTTTTCAGGATCCAGAAATGAATCATCAAAGGGTATTTGCACATCATTACACACAGGTACTCGCATCTCCATTCAGCCTGTATTTTGAATACTGTCAGATCACACAGAGAATAAATAACATTCAAGTAGCATTCATTGGTCTTGCCAGGCTGCTTTCTGACCCACCATACTAAAACGTCAACAGGAACACAACGGGCCTACTCAGATAAAAGTAAAGAAGTGGTGTTGTTAAAATGAAAGCATTGTTTGTAAACCCACAGTCTAGTAGTGCCCAGAAACTTCACCTTAAGGAAAGCTCTGAAGAGCTACCCTTTTAAAACCCCCTTTTCTCTTTTTTCTTGCAAATGTGATTTCTAAGCATTTCTTAATCTTTTAAAGTAATAGATTCAAACTCACATTGGCTACACATAACCTTGCCATCAAGTTTACAAGTAAATTACCCTGGTCACAATATTATGATGATTGAAATTTGCACTTTGTTTTCAGCTAGAAACAACTCCAGCAAACAACAAAGCCTAGAACTTAACAAAACTACTATATCCTTAGCTTTTGTTTTAACTAGATCCTGCTTTGTTCAGAGCTTTAGCAGGAAAAGGCAGAATAAAACAAGCAGGATATACTATATCCCCCTACTTGGGAAAGAGCAGATTAGATCTTGAAGGCTCTATTGCATGCTTCTCAATGGAAGAGACAGCTTTTTTTTGGTTTGGGTTTTGTTTTGTTTTATTTTGTTTTCAAATGGATTAATCATCCATAAGAACCTTAAATTCCCTAGTTAGGGGAAGGAAGCATGTACTTAAATTACGTGGATACTTTCTATCTCTGCTGTTCTCTGGAGGCATCTGCTTCGCTGCACTGACATAATCCACTCAAAGCCTGTGGACCACAAGTGGGCCACACAACACAGGAATATTTTAAAAACTATCAAAATGATTTGATTTTTTTTTTTAAAGTGATTAGAAGAGGATATCCAACGTAGTGAGAAATAGGAACTCAGTTCTTTTAGAAAGACTGACTTGTGACTCTTCCACCTTCTTCCATCTTAAGCGTTACTGTCACTGACATTAAAAAAAACACTTGGAAACATTATGGTCATGCAAGTTTAACTCCTCAGGCAAATACTTTAGGATTGTAGGAATCTTTTTATTCCTTAGACCCTTTATTCCTATGCTCATATGAGTTTAAATATTATATTATTATATATATTATTCAATAAATAAAATTATTTAGGGAGGGAGGGAAGGAGTGGAAGGGTCTAACAGAAGGATATGACAAACACCAGAGAATAACTTTCTGACTAAGATTATGCAGCAAAAGTTCAGAATCCTTTACACATCAAGTGTATTTTGAAGTTGACTAAAGAAATACCCTTTAAAAAAAAAGCTTTTTAAGTAATACTAACTAACTTTTAAAGTAATACTAAATGGGTCTCAAAGACATTCCCTAGACAGCTGAAAGTAGACAAACTATCCCCCAGAGGCACCTCAGGAATGTAAAAATGAGCAGTTGTCATACCTCTCTCCTGGGTATGCCCACTCTCCTGCCTCGTGTCACATGCTTCAGCAGATAGATAGTCAGAAATAGGGTAACTTTGTGCTATTTCTTATATTTTAAAACCTGTGATAAATTAGTAGTGTTGGTAGATGCTAGAGAAAAACAAAAAAGGTAGGTTTGAAAGCAGTTGAGAAAGCCTATGTTTAGCATTGATCACAGAGCTAGAGGTCACACTACATTAAATAATCTGGTTATTGATCCTGGTCCAAAAATCTGATTCTTAAAAATCTATGTTTCTAAAATGTTCAGAACTTCATGACTCACCACTGTTTTAAGAGTAGTTAAACTTAAGACCTACTTCCATAACATATTCTGCATTTGGATGAAACAATATTTTATGAGATAAGTGCTGTTGTGAAAACCTCTTAAGCTTCTCAGGCCAAAATCAAGCCTCTGGTCCTGAAACAGAACCATTTAAGTCAGCGGGGTCTAATCAGTGCAGCTCAGAATAGAATCTGCTCATTAGCATGTTTAAAGCATTTGCACACTGTCAGTGTGCTGCCTTGACTCACTCCTCTGAATAAACTTCAATTCAGCACTCCAAATCAATTTAATATTGTGGCCAAATGAAATTATTTTAATAGTAATATTAAGAAACATAAAGGGCTAAGTAATTGCAGATGAAATACAACTAAGGATGTTATTTATTTTTGGAAGTCCCAAATGTGTGCTATGTGTTTGTAACAGAGCATATGGCCCCTTCTTGGACCCAGGGATTAGTACCTCTGCTGTGGTTGAGCACACATCCTGGGAACCAGTCAAACAGCACCAGGTCTAGCTGAAGAATGACACGGGAAACATGCACAGAAGCAGGGGAAGAAGAAACAGGCTTCCTCTAGCCATCTTTATGAGAACTTGAAAGACAAAGTGGAATTTGCAGGTTTACCTAGTAAAACTATTTTTTTTTTGATACCAGAATTAGCTGGAAAGTTGGTCCAAGAGCTGATGTGGAAGGAAGATTAAAGCTTTATTTGGTTATCTAGATGGCATTATTCACTTTTCTTAAAATGGAAGCAGTCTGGGAGACAACCAAGTGAAGCAGTCAGAGCTAGTATTTGTGTTGAAGTAGGCAAGATTAAGCTATTGTCTTCAAGAGGGAAGATATAAATGTTAATGTCTAGAATGAATGTAAGAACTAGCAGAGATATGACAAAAGAGCCCTGGAGAAAGGCAGAAGTTACAGCAATCTGATCAGGTTTTTTAAATACCACTTAAACAACTGAAATTGCTTTGGAGGAACACAGTTCTCATGCTCAGCCTTGCGGTTGGTTGACCTGATTCAGACTTCAGATCAAGGTTGCTTCACTTGATCTGGGTTTTGCACCAGGTAAAGAAGGTAGCAAAAACTCCTAGGCAGGTTATAGCTGTGTGTACTACAAAATAGAAATAAATATTGATTATGATGGGAAGCAACTTCTAGATGTAGTCGTGTAATTTATCAAATGGCCTGTGTTTGCCATCTAGTGGTATAAAGCCACATTTTTGTTGTGATTCATGAGAGCAGACAAGACAGCTGAAATCTGACTCAGGAGCAGATCTCTCCCACGCAGAAATACAACTGCTTTCAGGCAGATAGTGGTGACTACTGTATAACTGTCCTTTTAGGGACTAGGGACAGAAATTTTGCAGCGTTTGACTCTATTAGATAATTAATTAGCTGGCAAAGGTTATCTAATAGTTGATCTGTCGCTCCCTTTTAGTATTCTGGTCATTGCTGCAGTCTTTCAATTTTACAGGTGAAGATTCTAGAAATAGTCAGGCATCCAAATTGTCACTGCTTTCTGTGGGAATTCAGGCAATTGAATACACTAGAAATATGAGATTATGTTGTAGCGCTTGTAAACCACACCTATAAAATGCTCAGCCAAGGGCTGCCCAGATTTCTAGAGGCATCAGCTATGCTTTACAGCAACCCTATATGAAGACATACGATTATTCTCCAACCAGGAGACTGAACTACAAAGAAATCAGAAGCTCATAAAATAAGTTGTACAGGGAATATGTGCCATTCTGGCAACAGAACATACATACCTAAACAAGCTTTGAGACTAGTTTTCTCTCATAAAACATTTCAAGGATGGGTGAATAAAGAATTAAGTAAAAGGATTAACTTTATTTCTGTTATGTCATATAGTAAATACAAGACAACAGGGATGCATTAATAGAAATAGACTTTATCAGAAGAAATTATATGCAGCATGATAGCTAACCATACATGTTATTTACCTGGATTTCTTCCTATATAGTGAAGAAAATTATAATTATGTATTGATTTTTTTTATCGGTATCCAGTAATTTTAAAATAATTCCCACATCCCAACTAAATAGCAAATGTTTTCATGCTCTACTATAAAAATATAGCTAGCAATTAAGAGTTGGAGTTTTCACAGTACCTCTATGATTCAGAAGCATCACTCAGTTTAGCAGTTCCTTGGATTTTCCCTCCTAACTCATACAGATTTTTCTTTTTAAATCCCTTTCACAAGCCACAATGAATGAAAACAAGGAAACACAAATTATATAGAAGACAAATCCCAGATGATGAAAATAAAGATTAATGAGATGAAATTAAGTTTACTATGCAGTGTTAATCATATTAACACTAATATGATTCTGAAAAGCACACCTATACAATAACACCACATACGTAACAAAATATGCGGAAGAAAAATTGTTAAAAATTACAAGCTATTAGCTATGGTCCCTTCTTTAAAAAGAAAAAAAATATTATTGAGTCTTCTATTTATTGAGCAGCTGTTGCTACGTTCAGTCATTCATCCATCCGCTCATTCAACTATTATTTATTTAATTCATTATTCAAGCAATTGTTCACTGAGGGACCGTATATGATCTATGTTTTACAATTGACCTCAAAGAGCGAGGCAGCTGAATGCATCCGATAGAAAATAGAAAAAGGCATTGCAAGGTTCACAACAATTATCCAAGGTTCAAAGCCAAAAACTATTTCTTCTAGTCCATTGTCATATTCCGGGCGGCACCCGAAAGCCGGTGGTATCCACAGCTGCAAGGAAAGAATGCAAGGCCAATATTAATCACCAGTGATATGAGTCACTAGCCCTTAATAACTGTGACCCCACTGAACTGCAAATTGGTTTCAGAAATCCCTAAGAAAACCCTCCCTATTGCTACTGGAGCACACTGGTGGAAGAGGGTTTCAGCCTCTGCTGCTGCTACAGTTTTTCCATTGTGACTAAAACAAGCCCAGGCTCCCAGATTCCATATTTAAATAAATTTTGGTCCCCAAAGGCATATTAATTTATTCTTCCAGAAAAAGTGAAATGTACTTGCTATGAACCATAGGACCATGCAATTTCAATACACTTATCAGGCTTGAAAGGTTGGGAAGCTTTTGGGAATTAAGTTGTGAATTATGTTCAAAACATCTTACCGAAAGATTGCAGAGGAATAAAAATGCAGCAATGTTCTTCAGAATTCTCCTCTTGTTGTTAGTAACTGAGTTTCTACTGTACAATGAGAAATCAGAGGCTGAATGCATGACCAAACTATTTTCCTGACTTGTTTCTTCTTTGGCACCACCATCACCACCACCATCATTTTGCCTCCCATAGACAGTGCCCTTGAACAGGCAGGGCACCTCCCCGCTGTCATGAGCAGCTCTGCCATTGTAAATCTCTTTGTACGAGGGGCTAAGTGATAAAGTGCTCCCCCGAGATACAGTCACTATTCGAAGAGTTTTAATGTTGTCGTTCACCTTTTCCTGTTCACGATGTATGGACTCAATGATAAAGAGGTTCTGAATGTATTTCTCAATAATAACCAGGGCAGAGTAGGGCAGGTTATACCATGTGTATTTTGGATGGGCCTGGGCACAGATGATGGCAAGGATCGAGCCCCAGGAGAGGAGCCAGGACCCTGCAGCCGTGCCCACCAGCAGCTCTGCATCAAGTTTTCGAGCAGGATTTTTTGAATTATCCAACGATCTATCTTCAAGTCTGTAGATGAGAAGGGCAACAATTCCAGCTGTACACATGAGAGCCAACACAAAGATAGCATGCAAGTAAAACATAGTAAGTGCTAACTCGCTTTTGATTTTTGAACGTCCAATCTGAATTAAATACACAACAACTATGGCTATCGTGCTAGTTAACACGATCAGTCCAAAAATCATTCCAACAGTTATGCCGTGGAATTTGAATGGAGTTTTGTGTTGCTGGTGATGCTCGACTTTGCGGCCAATGTTCTTCCACAGCACATAGAGCATGGTGGATGCTAGGATGTGGTACTCTATATTAAAGGGATATAGGTAGTAAATTCCTTGAGAGAATATCGAGCAGAGAGTTGTTGTGCAGTTGCATTGAGGTGCGTGATCATCTAAAACTAAAGGAGAGGGAGAGATTGGTTATGTACATTATAAGGTCTTCCCATTTAAACTGAATAAGTAAAACATAAATTAAACAATAAAACATAAAAGGTAAAATTTCAGTCAAACAACAAACCATGCCACACTGTTAGCCACCTAAGAAAAGGTCTCATCATTGAAGTCATTGACCCAACAAAGCTTTTGCAGTTGCATTGAACTATGATCTCTTATTTCACTGCTCAGGGGCTGAGCAACAATCGCACCATGGATGAATGCTGCACCAAAGTACACCAAACTTTAGCAAGGTCTTGTTAAAAATATTTTTTTCTAACACAAAAATCCATATCACAAGAGCTTTTAGTCCTCAGCCCTTCATCTTTGAAAGCTTTTGTAGAAGCCCAGGGATCTGCAGATCAGATCAAGAACAAGGTTAACAAGGAAAGGGCTGCGTTCCACCCTCATTTTTATCAGTTATTTACACTAATAACACACTAATGTAGTTTCTGATATCAAAATCACTTTATTAAAAAGCTGATATGTCTAGGAAAGACATGAAGTAACCCCCAGAGACTTTCACTCAATGTCCAAGTATAGTTTTAAGGTTAAGAAAAAAAACTTTAAATCATTCCTCTCCTTTGAAGAAAAACCTATGAAATCATTGTCTTTCTGCAGAGAAGTTACCTGCATTGTAAAACCCTAAGGCATCACAATGAATAATTGCTTGTATTTGTAAAATAAGCAGATCTAAAGTACATTTATAACTTAAGAAAATAATTTCGCAAAAATTTTCAGTGGCAGAAAAAAAAGATACTTCTTTTCACAATGTGTTTATTAACAGATACATAAATATAGATACTGAAAAGCACATTTTTAGGCACTGATCTTAGATTTGTGCCTGGAAATTTTTATTTTCTGTGATTTTAGACTAGAAAAGGAGAGGAGAAAGTTGGTATCATTTCGTCTCAAGCACACAGTTAGGGAATTAAAAAAATTGCTTTTGCACTGAATTGTATGTTTATGCCAAACTTGTCTTGTGGATCACTACTTCACTCTCCCTTGTTTCATACACTGTTTCTGAGTGTTCATAATTGTGTAACAATTTTGGCAGCAGAATAATAATGAACAATCTAATGAAACTGCTTCTATTTAACAAGTAGGAATATCAAAAAGAGTCATAACTTGTGATGTGCCTGCTCTATACTACTGCTCCATGATTACAAAATCTTTGAACTATCAGCCCATGTACCTGATTATTAAAGGAAACTATATAGTTTCCATAGATAGATATAAAGGTTAACAATTGCCAATAGATGTAAAATTGTGGGCGGTTATACTGAAAATATTATTTTTCAGATTTTTAAATTAATTTTTCACTTACCTATGAACTTTGGCCTGAATTATTAAAAATGCCTAACATTTTTCAACTTACACAGACTATAAGTAGGTAAAAAATAAATTAGCTCAGGATTTTGCTTTGTAGAGGCAGAAAGAGGCAGCCAGAGCAAGATCTTTGTCTTGTAAAGCAGCACTAATGAATTACCCCATCCCTCCCAGCCATCCCACCAAATCCCATAGGACCACGTGCCACGTGTGATCAGTCTCCTGGGAAGGATTTGCAGGATTATCCATGCTTGGTTTTCTATGAATAACTTAGGAAATAATAAACTCTGGTTTTAAAACTGCTGCTTTCAATTCCTATGGTTTACTAATAAAGGGGTTCCTCAGTGATGTTATTCCTCAAAATAAATGTTTTTTTAAAAAATCTGTTTGGAAAATGGAAAAAAAACAGCTTGGATCACATGTATGATAATAATAATGAGCATATAACATTTTAGTTGTGAATTGATCACATACCAGCTTGCTACCATTTGCCTGGGAATGACTATGCTGACATAGTCATCAATGACCCAGCCCCATCCTGAAGTGACAGCATTTTGTATGGGAGTGTGTTAGAGCAGGAATTCCAAACTGTACCAACCCTTTCACTTACCTATTGTTATGTTCCCAAAACCAAGCGTGATTAGCCTTTCCTTATGTTCATTCAGTTGATGTTTTGACTCTGTTAGCACTCCATTTGTCCACAGGAGTAAATTTGTGAACACAGAATGGATAACCCCAAACCTACAAAATAAGGAAGTTACTGAAGGAATCTGCACAGATGGATTAAGTTCCTGTAGCTATGCTAGGTGGCACCAGTTAGCTGTCAATGCAGGGAAAATTAAAAAACAAATCTCTCTAAAGATGATCTTCAGTGGAGCACAATGAATGTCAGGCTTCCAAAACTTTATATAGATGGTTTAAGGTACTGTGTGAGCTGTTATTATTTGTTACGCTCTCTTATGCGATGGTTGGTGTTCTTTGGGCTGGACCAGCTTCTTGTTAATGAAAGTGATTGAATAGATTGAACAGGGTTAATTGTTTTTTTGCAAGCTGAATTTCACAGCCTTCTGCAGTGTTCCTTCATACTTTCTGTGGCTGGCCTTTCTTCAGAGTTACCACTGCCTTCTCTAACTTCTAGTCTGTGCATTTCTGTGTCCTGCAGAGAGCTGAAGCCAACAGAGGGCTTTATCCCATTCAGCCTACTGGTACCATGAGTGTAGATCTCCACATGTTTTTGAGACTCCTGGTTTCTGACAAGCTAGGTGATTTTCTCCTGCACCTGAGGCTGTTGATGTTCCTTCCAAGGAACAAGACGCAGTTCTTTATTACTGAACTGTTCTCACTGACAGACTTGCAGTTAGGGATTTTTAAAATTCTACTTAGAAAGCTGATTTCACCAGCTGACATTGCAAGCCTTCTGTGATCTCTCTCCTCATTGGCATGAGGCTTGAACACTTACCCAAGAGCAAAACAAAAGAACCTTCTCAAAAAATGTTTCTAGGTGAATCTCTTTTACTTCCTGTAGAAACCTGACAGTTCACTGATAATTTGAGATGAGTATTTTAGAAGTTACCATGTTTGTTCATTTACTTTCTACAAAAAGACAATATACATTAATCCAGCTTCTCACAAAACCAAAAATATATTGGAACTGGCTCTGCTGCCTCAGAGACTAGTCTTCAGTTCTATAATAAATGTATGTATTCAGCTGTTCAGTGGGCACATAAGTTACACTGAAAGAGCCAAGTTCTGGTGTCAGAAAAGTGCACAACCCTTCCTGATTTGGATATATGGGGTACCACTGGGGAGGTTTTGTTTCACAGTGAATTTGCATATCTCGTTCCAAAAGGGGCTTTCCACAAAAATCAATCTAAAATACCTCAGATATATTGCATTGACTGCAGTTTGCTGATGCAGATTCCTTTCCAGTAGCTACATACGGAAAACATAATATAGTGCATGGTCCTAAGAAACATATGTAGCACTTCCTTCCTTGAAAAAAAAGCAAGTGACACCGTGGTATCATACCTTGCCTATTTCCCTCTCTCATGAGAAAAACACACTTATTCTCTGATTGTTGTATACTACAAATACAAGCACTGTTTAAATAAGAAAAAATAATTCAGACTAACAATTATTTTCTCACATGGGTAAATGGAGTTAGTTTTTATTTATATTAACACAGCTAAGAGGAGACTCCAACTCTGTGTAACAGTTTTCAATGTCCCACACACAGTAGAACTGTAAGCATTAAAGCACGGTGCAGACCCACACCTAGTAGAATTCCGGATGAGGATCAGATCCACTTTACCTTTCAAGTGTTTTGAAAGACTGGATAATATCCTTTGCATGACACCAAAGAAAGTACACCTAAATGAAAGGAATACAGAGAAAATTCATTATACTAATGAACATGTGTGATGCTTAAAAAAAAGAAAGTGTATCTGTAGATGGAAACGCTGATCATTATATCCTCTGATGATTTAAATTCAGGTAGCTCCACCTCCACACATGTGAAATAATTCATGATATCCTCTGCAGTTCACCCAGAACCTCTCTGGCATGAAGAACCTAAGGTTTTCTTATATGCAGAGTCAGTGGCTCAACAGCAGAAAGACTCAGTGTGACTCACCAAAACATATCTTGCATCTGGAGAGGCTTTTATTCCAATGACAAAGGAAATACGGGTACCAGCTGTGGACAGCAGTACTATTGCCGCAGGGCAAGGTGATGCTAAGCTTGAATAATTTATTAAATATGTAAAATTCTATGAAGGGTCAGCGATAAGTGAAAGGGTGCCAGACTTGATTAATAAAACAAACACCAGACACCCAGGAAGCAAGAGAAAAGGTCATATTATCAGTCTGAGAGACAACCACATTAGGAACACATGCAGTTGTACTCAGGCATGGTGTAGAAAGCTCAAGGTGGAGAATAAAAGAGAGAGATAACAGTATTGAGTTAGCAACTAAAGGGGGAAGAAGTATTAAAAGTAGGAATCTCTGTTTGTGGGAGGTTAATGAAAAACTCAGGATACAGATCGTTGCTGATACAAAACTGGTTCCATGTGCTGATAAGCTCAAGGAGAATGATACCGATGTTCCTCAGGGATGTTAGAGTGAAACTAGGAGTCCTGTTTACTCAGAATAGCTCCTAGGAAACTGAACTTGACAGCAGGTGAACTATCAGGAGAGGAATAGTCCAAAAGGTTTCTCTTAGAAACCTGCCTGGTTTAGCATTCCAGAAAAGGTTTGAAAAGTGCCAAGAGCTTTGGGTTCTTCTTCAGGAATTAGAGTAACTGCAAGTCCATTTTACCACAGGGCCCACTGACGTAGGCACCCTACACTACAGCTGGTGTTGCCTGAGACATTCAGTATCTGTTTTGTGAAACAGTTAGGAAAATGTAGTCCTTTGAGGGCCACCTGCACCAACCAGCAATAACACATTTGTTAATTCCTCTAACGGAGCATTTATAAAGAAGAGGCGTGGCCACTGTAAAACCCCAGGTGTAGAGGCTACAAGATTTGATGGAGGTTTCAACTGAAATAAAACAAATTGAAATTAGCACCTTAGTCTCATCTAACACCATGTTCAATTTCCTGCTCTGGGACAGATGCAATAAAATCTAACAGCAGATGTGAAAGCCTTCTTCAAAATTTAAAAACATAAGTTTTGAAGATCTGTTCAGACATTCTAGTCAAGAAAGTTAAAGAGATTTCTGCCTGTAAAAGAGTGTAATGCACAGCCTGGCTTGGAAAGGCAGGTACATGTTAGTTCACTGCTTGCATAGGTGCAGTATGTATATATTTATTCATTTAATAGCATGTATCAGAATGCCTCATTAGAGTAAAATACAACAGAATCTGACACACATTCTGTAGAATAAAAATGCCCTGTTTTTTAGATGAAACATAATTAGAGATGTCCTCTGCTGTAATTTCATCCTGTGTCTCAAAGACATGAGATTTGTCTTAGCTATATGATAAATTACTTTTTCATTGGTTATTCAGACTAACATTCAGGATTTCATTATTTTAAGCTAAGTAGACAAATTCAACAACATAGGGTGATGTAAAATTTAAATTAGAATTCTTGTTCCCTTTGTTCAGCATTGTTATACACCGTTTCTTCCACACTCCAGTTCATGGTAGCTGGAAACCTTGTCAGCTCAGGGTCACTGGATGCAGTGAAGAATGCTGCATGCAGATAAGCAGGGGAAAAAAGGCTTTATTTCTTTGGTTTGTTTTTCAGAGGTAAAGCAAAGAAGCTGCAAGACATGGAGAGCAGATATTACAAAAATGCGAAATTAACGTTACTTCAACTAAATCTAAATTTCACCCTCAGAGAAAAAGATGGATGAGGCCAGAGTTACTGCTTAAATTTCAATACTTTTTTTTTTGTCACAGAGAGCAGAAAAATGTAGGTTGCTCAAATGCTTTTTTACATGCAACAATAACTGCTAGGAAAATCTTTCTTTTCTTTCTGAATGACTTAATAATCTTGGAAAACGCATTAAATGACTTGGCTATAACTAAATATCCTAGTTACAGATAGTTAGCTTCTTTCCTACAAATCTGCAGACAGGGGCTCAGAGGAATTCATGTAATAAAAAATCAGCTATGAAATATCACCATATAATATAGACCCAAATCCTTAAAATAAGCAAGCAGCTGGATTATTTTGCCACAGTCATTGACTATGTTTGTTACTGTGCACCATCCACTGACAAGCACAACCAAATGCTTCTAGAAGGAAAATCCATGTTCATTTGGTATAGGAAAGATGTGCAAGTATTTTATAACAAGCTAAATACATGGGAAGAGTTTGGTCCCTTTGAAGTATCAGATCTCCACCCTTAACCACAATAGGACATCAGGATAGACATAATTGAACTGGTGTGGCAAGTCCTACATACAGAGATAAATGAATTGTCTTTAGCTAAGCTGCTCATTTCAGCCTGGAAATTATGAAAGTTACATGTATAACCTGAATTAAACAAACATGCAATTTCAACTATAGGAGAGCATTTTCTGATTATTTCTTTTTTGAACCCATGTGAGCTTTACAGCTGAGCAATTTCAGGTGGCAAAGCCTAAATTTACACACAGAAAGGATATACACACACAAAATTTAGCCCTCAAAGGTATGGTGTGATATGTATAGAAATTAAATCAGTGTAAAATTCACTGATAAGAAGATAAAAGATATTTTTGGTAAGAAATACAGATAGAATTGCCCTAGCGACTTTTACCTGTAAAATGGTGTGCACAGCATGTGTAACAGGAAAAATGCCTTCAGTTGGTGATAAACAGTTTGAAAAATCAACATAATATCCAATTTTAAAAGAGTCCAGAATTAAAGTAATCACTGCAAATAATGTAATCCCACCTACAAATGAAAAAGATATTAGAAAATGTCAATGCACAGTTATAATGCCTAGAGATGATCTGTACCAATATGCCTAAAATCTGTTTAAGGAAATAAAAGCAGTTCAGTGTTCATTAAGATAAGTGACTCAATATAGTAAGTCCCTCTAATCTGTGAAAACCTCTGCCCAATATATTACGAAAGCACATCCCCATGCTTGCCTTGCATGGTCACTGTAGAGGAACCAGTCCAGCAACAGCCAGGACCTGGAGACCTGGCAGATGGCTCCCAGATCCTTCAGTGTTAGCCTCTCAGGTAACGGCAGCACTGAAGCAGCCATACAGTGCCTGAATTAATGCTCTATACAGCCACACAGCAAACTATAGAATGCCAGTGAGCTGAACAATCACGTTACAGTCTCCTGGCCCAAGAGCTCAGCAGTTGGAAGTAACACAATCACTTGGTATGCCTTCCCTGTGGCTCAGGAGGTTATGCTTTAACTCACAGACCAAAACTACAATGAGATGTATGGTTTGTTGTCTTAGAAAGGAATCAAAGATTTCATTTCTGTATCTATTATTTCCCCACCCCTAAAAACAAAACCAAAAAAAAAAAACCCAACCCAAACCGAATATGTTTCTCTGAATATGTATTTCAAATCCTAAATAGCTTTCAAAATACATTTCCCCTTGTGCTTGTTTGGTGGTTTGTTGTTTTTTTTTTTTTTCTTTCTTTCAGGAAAGTAAAAAGCTGTTACAAACTCCTTCTGGAAAGCTATATGGTAACACAAAGTATATTATTAATTATTAGGTTTGTACCCATATGACTTACACAACTAGAAATAAAATTACTGAACCAAACTCTGAAGTTTTCCGTTGCTTGGATTTTTTGTCTCTTTAGGATTTTATTCAAACAAGCTTCCACTGGATTTAATTTGGGCTTATTTCAATTAAGACTAGATACAAATCTATCCATGGACCCTAAATAGACCCTAAGATATAGATCAGCATTAGTTTCTTAATCTTGCTGTGTAATTCCTCACAGAGTATATAACATCACTAGTGTGATGAATATTTACCCGTTATAAGAGACCACAACCTCACTTCATTATAAACATGTTGCACTTGATGTGTTCAGGTTTAAATTCACAAAAATGAAATGCAAACACAGTTTAGATTAGTGATCCATCTCCTGCACACTACATGCATCTTGTCTTTACAAGGATGACCTGCACTGTAGTTGCACTTTGTATTGCTTCCATTTCACAAGGTCAGTGCTTCACTTGTATAGTATTAGCTTTACATCAGTGTCCAGCAGACCATTGAGGGGGGGAAAACCCAACAACAAAACCAAATCTCACCTACCCCCAAGTCTCTTTTAAACTGAGTATTTTGGTTTATGCCTTAGTACCTCATGTTTCCATGACATGCATCAGAGATTTGGTGGGCTTCAATCTGATCCCACCGAAATGAACAGTTTTGCTATTGTCCTCCAGGGCTTGGAAGAGTTTATGTAACTTATTTCTTATAATGATTGATTACTTAATTTATTCAAGTGATATCTAGATGTTTCTGGTAGTCACACAGGTAGCTACATTGTACACATATACGAAGTGTCCAAGGTGTACTCAGGGGGCTTCAAAAGAGAATGATTGTACTAATTTGCTTAGTCAAAAATCAAAGTACAGCTGTAATGACTGCATATATGGTATGCTAATGGTTATCTACTAATACTGATTTATACATCTATATCTCAGTAATTATAAACAAGGACAATGCTCTTAAAGGTCTATGCTTTAATAAGAAGCTGTGCTGCTGGAGAACGTGATAAAACGAAGACATTTGTGAAGCCAGGGGATTTTCATTTTGCATTCTCTGACTCACTTGGCTGAACTTCCAGATAATGACTAGAGAGGTTTTCCAAACAGGAGAGTGTACTCAGGGGAGTAACGTTTGGAATAAGTCAAGGAAAGGACTTCCTAAGCTTCCATGTGATTAATTGGGTCAGGCTAACTCTACCTTATTACAGACAAAGATCTCTCTCAAACTCCTTCTACATTCAGATTGTAAGAGTGGTTCTTGGTCTACAACACAAGTGGGAAGACATCTGTGCTCCAGGGTTCATGCAGCTGCAAAAATGCTCAAGGAAACATTTCTGTGAGCAATTCTTGTAAACTGTTTGTCCTTCTAGTATTGTTAACTGTGTGCAAGGACTCAGTTATAGGAGATTTTTGTTAAGGCATTCTTTTTTAACATTTGTCATATTAAAAAGGGTCTAAGTGGCCACTTACCAGCCCTTTTCATAAGATAATATTCTCTGTTTGAAGGGAATAATGAAAATACACTTATTTTATACTGCGTAATACAAGAACTCACAATGAGAGCAAGGAGATAGTCTTCAAAAGCAGCTGATAGAGCTAGTCAAAAATTGCAAAGAGCTTTCTGAGGAAAGACTTGATGAAAATTTGTCCCACTCACAACTCCTGTTTGGACTTTTGGTCATTCAGATAAAAGATTTCTATGACAAAACTACTGATGCAGAGGAGGGCAAGAGAGATCTTGGCAGAGGAGTTGCCACCTGAGTTTTTCCTTAGCTCAAGTGAGTCTTTTTTTACCAACAGAGAATAAAGGATTTATACAGGCTTGTTGTAACTATAAGAAACTCCTAAGAATAGTTAAGCATAAGTCTTGCCCGAAGGGCAATTTTGTTGAATTGCAGCCTAGACATCCAAGGGAAGCCGTGGAAGCCAGACCACTTGAGAAGCTAGTACAAAGAGCCATCCTGTGCTGGTAAAAGAAATGGATAAGGTAACCTAGCAGTCCATTGCAGTATCTTATTTCTAAGTTTCTGTAACTCCTTATATCCTGTAGGACAAATGAAATACTGTGAATGCTGTGCCAAAAGAAAAAGGGCAGGGGGTCCTGCTGTACTTACCCATGTTAAGCAGTATTCACTCCATACTTAGGAGGGGAAAGCTACCCTCTGAGTAACAATGCATAGCTTGGCCCAAAATAAGATAAAATTGATCCTTGCACTAATGAATTTCATGAGACTGTAAGCCACATATGCTAATAAATGAAAAATGCCTGAGAGCTGAATATTGTTTTGGAAAACAGGCAATAATCAAGGAGAACAATTGAAGAGCTGGTACATGAACTCCAGACACTTTGGGAAAGTGTCTACAGACCATAGCTGTGAAATGTCAGGCATTTAAAAAAGATTTTCCCAAAGCAATTCATACAGTGTAATTGTTAACAGCTGCAAAGAAAATAAAAAGACTCACAAGCACTGGGGCTAGAGGGCAAACTAAACTTCTAGAACACAACCTTACTCTTCAAAATTATCAAGTTTTAGATGTTCTTGGAGTTTTCATTTAGGTATTTCATTAGCTGTTGCTCTCATTGCTAGCAGGACAGAAATGTTTTATGGCAAAGGTGTCTTACAGCATTTTACTTACCATACTCACTTTCCAACCTATCATTTACTGGAAAAGAGGCGAGTAAAACTGGGCTTGTCTATTACTCTACAGAGTGCTGATATGAGTTGCATATTTTTCTTGGGACCCTAAAACACAGCATTCCTGTCGCTGTGAGACTGTCATGTGCTCCCCAACTACCTTCTCTCAATATACCTTTATAACCTTACTCTAGTATGCACCTTACTCTGCAAATAAGTGCCACTACATCCCACCACTACCTGTGCAAACTTGTATACATTTCCTACAATCTAAGGCTTGCTTTAAATTTCTTGCTTAGATGTTTCAATTACTAATCTACAGCCTTATCTGGCCACGGAATTTGTCCTCTTCTGTCTAATGCCAGATGTTTCTCAGGCATCACTCTACAAATATAAATGGGAATCTTTGATATATATTGGTATGGGGAGCACTTAAAAACCTTTCTGACACTAGCCTAAAGTAAGTTGCATTATGTTGTCTGGAAAAGGTAATAAGTCCTCCAAAGGAGTTGCATGAGACCAACAAAATTGCCTTTTCCATGAGCTACATTCTATTTTTCACGTGTTGCCAAACCCGCCTGGTAAGGGGACAAAAGGCGCTGGAGCTTTCAGCACTGTAAAGGGTAGGCTGGGAAGCGAGGATGCTCAGCAAACAGCTTTCCCATACAACCTCCTAGTATGTTCAGCTTGCGCATATATTTACTTTAGAGTGCACTGCATGTACGTTAAGGTGATGAATACCAGGATGCCCCCGGGTAGGGATGGAGAGGGCAACACAGTGGTAGCGGAGACGGGAGATGGGGCAGGTGGATGTCCCTGTGTGCCATCCGCCAGTACTCACACTTCAGCCAGCGGGCTCCGGCGTGTGTGTCCTTGTCGCGGATCAGCCTCCGCTGCGTGCAGCTCCTGCAGAGGTACCACAGCATCCACAGCACCTGGATGAGCATCAGCGTGATGAGGTAGGAGAGCAGGTGGCTCTTGCTGATGCCCACGGCGTGCACGGCCCAGGCGAAGGTGAGCAGCAGCCCGGCCAGGAACAGGTTGATGCCGTACTGGCTGCTGAGGATCTCGGCGTTTTTCTGCGGGTAGCTGCCCCCCGCGGAGAGGGAACCGGCGACTTTCTCCATCTCCCGCACCGCCGGCCAGGTGCTGCGAGCGGCCGG